CCATCCTGTGGCATCCTCACCATCTTTGATACCCTTGAACCGACTGTTACAGTCACTGTGTCAATCCACCTCCCCAAGGGGCCTCCTCTTTTTTTCGGTGGTCCTCCACCTTTCCAAGCATGATGTCCCTTTCTGAGGAAGAGCCTCTACTAAGAGCATGTCCAAAATATGTGAGATGAAGCTTCACCACTGTCACCTCCAAAAAGTAGCCTGGTTGTACTTTCTTCAAATATACTTGTTTATTTTCTTGGTCGTAATAGTTTTCAGTAGAGTCTCCAACCCAGATGGAGTAAGAAGATACGCTTGCTAATTGTTGTTGTTGTTATGTGCCGTCGAGTCACTTGTGACTCATAGCGACCCTATGTATAACAGCTCTAAACTCTGCTCTGTCCTGTGCCAATCTCACTGTCTCTGACACACTCATCTTGATTGCCCCAGTCACTGAATCAACCCATCTCCCAGAGTGCCTTCCCCTCCTGTGCCTGCCCTCCACCCTCCCAAGCATGATGTCCCTCTCTCTCCAGGGATCGGTCCCTCCTTATAACATGACCAAAGTATGTCAGACGAAGCCTTCAAATCCTTGCCTCCAAGGAGCAGCCCAGTTTAACCCTCTCCAGGATAAATCTGTTTGTTTTCTTAGCAGTCCATGGCACTCTCAGCACTCTTCTCCAACACTAAACTCAAAAACATCAATTCTCCGTCTATCCTCCTTGGTCATTATCCAGCCCTCTGACGCATAACAAGTGATTGCAAAGACCATGGGCTGTACCAGACGCACCTTCGTCTCCAGAGACACATCGTTGCTCTTGAGTATTTTAGAGAGGTCCCTAACAGCAGACTGTCCCATCACAATATGTCTTTTAATTTCCTGGCCGCTGGTGCCAAGAGTGTTGATTGTGGAGTCAAGCAAACTAAAGCTGTGAACAATCTCAATCTCTTTGTCATCCATCCTGTTGCTGCCAATTTGTCCAGTGGTGAGAATCTTTATCTTCTTGACATTGAGCCTCAATTCATATTGAAGGTTTCAGTCCCTGACCCTCAGCAACAAGCGCTTTAGGTCCTCCTCAGTTTCAGCAAGCACGGTTGTGTCATCTGCATAACGCAGATTGCTGCTAATATACTTCTAAAAACCAGTTAATGAAAATCCTATGGAGCCAAATAGTCTGATCCAAACTTAGTGATGACAGTGCAGAGCCTGGCGATGTTACGTCCTACTGAGATGAAGAAGCAAAGCACCGGGAGCCAACTTGAGGGCAGCTAACAACAGGGTGGGAATATGTCCAAAAAACAAGGGTTCAATGGTTGATGTATTAGTTGTCTTCCTTGTTGTATGCCTTTAATAGATATGTTTTTACCATAATAATCAGACCTTTGTAATCATTGTGGGTTTTTTTGTTAATTTTCCTATTCACATAACACATTTTTGGACTAAAGAGAAATAATTTTTAAAAGTTGTGTGTTCAGTCCCTTTTTTTGTCTGGCACTACCTTCTGATAGTTTTCTCTCACTCAGACACATTAAAACTTTTGCTAACTAACTATTTAGTCTTTCTTATTTTACTTTATTATTTTTTGCACATGTGCCATCAAATCAGATCTGACTGGTACGGGAGGAGATTGTCCCTCCTTTCCCAGCAGATCATCTGGTGGATTTGAACTGCATACCTCTTGGATTGTAGTGCAGCTTCTTGCTGCTAAGCCACCAGAGCTCCCTTTAAGTCTTTTTTTTTTTAAGGTTCTTACTTCTTATTTTTTGGTAAACTCTTTTCACCATACTGTCGCTTAGAACTCCAAACTCATTGTCGTTGAGTTGGAACCAATTCATAGTGGACCCTCCATTGGCTCTCTAAGGTTGTATATCACGTGACAGGAGATTGCCCATCTTTCTTTCAAAGCTGGCCTTTGGGTTAGCAGCACTTCCCTCTACAGATTGTTGTTGTTATTGTTATGTGGCGTCCAGCTGACTATGACTCATAGCAATCCTTGGCACAATAGCTCTGAACCCTGCTCAATCTCACTGTCAGTGACACACCTACCCTCATTACCCCAGTTATTGTATCAATCCATCCCATCTGGGATCTTCCTCTCCTACACTGTCCATGGACCCTTCCAAGCATAGTATCCTTCTCCAAAGACTGGTCCCCCCCGGCTAAATGCCCAAAGTGTGTGAGATAGAGCCTCAATACCCTTACCTCCAAGGAACAGGTTGGTTTCACTCTCTCCTGTTAGTTTTCTTGGCAGTCGATGGTATGTTCAAAACTCTTCTCAAGCACCACAACTCGAAGGCATCAATTCATCTTCTGTCGTCCTTAGTCATTGTTCAGCTCTCTGATGCCTAGCAAGTAATAGCAAAAACTCTGTTCTGAATCAGGCACACCTTATTCTCTAGACTGACATATTTTCTTTACTCTTCTGCACTCTGGAGACTTCTCTGACAACAGGTTTTCCTAATGTAACTTTTCTTTTTATTTCCTAAATACAGGTGCCAAGATTGTTACTTGTGGAAGTGAGCAGGCCAAAATTGTTAACAATCTCAAACTCTTTTCCATCCATCATGATGCTGTTAATTGACCAAGTGGTGAGAATCTTCCTTTTCTTGATGTTCAGCTTCAATCCATATTGAAGACTATACAGTCCTTGAACCTCTGCAGCATAAATTCAAATTATTTAAACATATAGTATAATTTTAAAATTTAATATCCTGAATGTTCAGCAGGCAAAACTGATTGAACCATCTAATTGACATTTGTTTAGGTCTCAGACCCTGTTGTAACTTCTCTATAGTCATGCAGAGTACCTTAAGCTGTCTATTTGCCAGGAAGGGAAAAGCATCTTTCATTGAATTAGCATTTGTCTTAGTCATATGTAAACTATACCTTAAGTTGTCTGTTTACTGGGAGGGGAAATGCATCTTGCTTGAATCAGCATTTACTCTGAAAAATTGTTTTTCTCTGTCAAATGTAAACATATCACAAGTTATCTGTTCACTAGTAAATGTATGTAGATTGTTCTTTTGAGTGTACATATCCTGTAGCTTTTGAACTAGAGATGATGATGATGATGATGATGATGATGATGATGATGTTGTTAGGTGCTGTCAAAAAGAGTATGACTCCTAGCGACCTTTTGAACAGCCAACCTGAAATCTGCCCTATCTTGTGCCATCCTCACCATCTCAGAGACACTAGAACCCATTGCTGAAGTCACAGTGTCAATCCATTTCTTTGGGGGGCTTTCCTTTACTTTCTGGACTCTCCATATTTCTAAGCATGATGTCTCTTTCTGTCACTGTCCCTTTGTCAGCAGAAGTAGCAACACCTGATGGGGGTAAGAACAATGGAGGCATGCCACTCCGGGAGTGCTGCAGAGAGCCCACTCAACTTTATTGGGGGTTACAGTGTGCTTATATACAGGCGAGTCAACAAGAAGACAGGATGGGGTGGATTCGTAGGTGTGGAGTATGTGGTTTGGACAGGAGAACCTCAGCCCAGTGCAGACCACTCCCAGCTTAACAGATGTGGCAGTTATCTTTCCTGGTGGCAAGTTTTCTCAAGCCGGCACAGCCAAACACAGAAGAGCTTTGTCTATCCCATATTAAGAGCTGATGGGTCAGATAGGCTTGCAGTTATTCAGAGTTAGGCAATCTGCTCTGGCCAGAGGCCTCCTCCTCCTCCCCCAAATTCCCCAACACATTTCCAAGAAATAGCTTCACCTAGCTACATGTCCAAAGTATGAAAGATGACACTTTACTATCTTTGCCTCCAATGGACACCCTGGCCTCATCCTTTCTGGGATATATATGTTTATTTTCTTGGCAGTGCATGGAATATTCAGGACTCCTCTCTAACATCACAACTAAAAGGCATCAATTTTTTTTTCTGTAATCTTTATTCATTGTCTAACTCCCTAATGCATAGCAAATGATTCAAAAGGCCATGGCCTGAATCAGATGCATCTTCATCTTCAAACTGACATCTTTGCTCTTTAGTATTTTGGAGAAATCCCTGACAGCTGATTGTGAAATTCAGTATGTGTCTTGATTTTCTGACTGCTCATACCAAGGGTCTTTGCAATTACTTGCTATGCATCAAAGAGCAAGACAATGACTAAGGATGATGGGAGAAGAATCAATACCTTTGAGCTATGGTGCTGGAGAAGAGTATTGAATATACGATGGACTGCTAAGAAAACAAACAGATTCATCCGGAAGAGGGTGAAACCAGGCTGCTCCTTGGAGGCAAGGATTCTGAAGCTTTGTTTCACATACTTTGGACATGGTGCAAGGAAGGACCTGTCCTTGGAGAGGGACAGAAAACTTGGAAGGAAGGAGGGACAGCACAAGAGAGGAAGTCTCTGAATAAAATGAATTGACTCAGTGACTGAGTGTTGGGGATAGGTGTGTCAAAGACCATGAAGTTGGCTTAAGAGAGGGCAGGGTTCAGGGCTGTTGTACATAAAGTTGTTATGAGTCACAAGAGACTTGACGGCACATAACAATGACAACAGTACCAACAGTGTTGATTGTTGATGAAATTATTAACAGTTTCAATCTTTTCTCCATCTGACATAATGTTGACAGCTGGGCCTGTGGTGAGGATCTTTGTCTTCTTCTTTTTTTTTTTTTATCTTTGTCTTCTTAATGTTGAGATGTAATCCATACTGAAGACTGTCGTCATTGATCTTCTGGGGAAACTGTTTCATATCCTTCTCGCTTTCAGCAACAAAAGTTTTGTCATCAGCATAATGTGGGTTGTTGATGAGTCTTGGTAACCTGTTAAGAATATTACCACCTACTTCCCAGGAGTCTTCTCAGAGTCGAGTCGTGAGCCGCCTGAGGCCGTGATTGGCTGGAGAGCCGGCGGCACGCGGAGGGCCGAGGAGGTATCTCTGTTGCGACAGAAGCCAAGCGCCGAGGCCCTGTGAGCGCTGCGAGGGATCTTGGAGGAAGGGTGCCAGCCGGCTCCCTGAAAGGTCCATAACACATCACAAAGGTTCATCACCATGCCCTCTGATCTGGCCAAGAAAAAGGCAGCCAAAAAGAAGGAAGCTGCTAAAGCTCGACAGCGACCCAGGAAAGGACATGAAGAAAACGGAGATGCTGCTATAAAACCACAGATGGCAAAGAAGAATTTGGAGGCCAACGGCAGAGAGGCCACAGAAGTAGATTTGCTGACCAAGGAGCTAGAAGACTTTGAATTGAAGAAGGCTGCAGCTCGAGCTGTCACTGGCGTCCTAGCCTCTCACCCCAACAGTACTGATGTCCACATTATCAACCTCTCACTCACCTTTCATGGTCAAGAGCTGCTCAGTGACACCAAACTGGAACTGAACTCAGGCAGACGCTATGGTCTTATCGGCTTAAATGGAATTGGAAAGTCCATGCTGCTCTCTGCTATTGGAAAACGAGAAGTGCCCATCCCTGAGCATATTGACATCTATCATCTGACTAGAGAGATGCCACCTAGTGATAAGACACCCTTGGAGTGTGTGATGGAAGTGGACACAGAGAGGGCCATGCTGGAGCAGGAAGCTGAGCGGCTTGCACATGAGGATGCGGAATGTGAGAAGCTGATGGAGCTGTATGAGCGCCTGGAAGAGCTGGATGCTGACAAGGCAGAGATGAGGGCCTCCAGGATTCTGCATGGACTGGGCTTCACACCTGCCATGCAGCGCAAGAAGCTTAAAGACTTCAGCGGGGGCTGGAGGATGAGGGTCGCCCTTGCCAGAGCCCTCTTTATTCGGCCCTTCATGCTGCTGCTGGATGAGCCCACCAATCACTTGGACCTCGATGCTTGTGTGTGGTTAGAAGAAGAACTAAAAACTTTTAAGCGTATACTGGTCCTCGTCTCCCATTCCCAAGATTTTCTGAATGGTGTCTGTACCAACATCATTCACATGCACAACAAGAAACTGAAGTATTATACGGGTAACTATGATCAGTATGTGAAGACGCGGCTGGAACTTGAGGAGAACCAGATGAAGCGCTTCCACTGGGAGCAGGACCAGATTGCACACATGAAGAACTACATTGCTAGGTTTGGCCATGGCAGTGCCAAGCTGACACGGCAAGCCCAGAGCAAAGAAAAGACACTACAGAAAATGATGGCCTCAGGTCTGACAGAACGAGTTGTGAGTGACAAGACATTATCCTTTTATTTCCCACCATGTGGCAAGATCCCTCCACCGGTCATTATGGTACAAAATGTGAGCTTCAAGTATACAAAAGATGGGCCTTGCATCTACAACAACCTAGAGTCTGGTATTGACCTCGACACACGAGTGGCTCTGGTAGGGCCCAATGGAGCAGGGAAGTCAACGCTTTTGAAACTGTTAACTGGAGAGTTACTTCCCACAGATGGAATGATCCGAAAACACTCTCATGTCAAGATAGGGCGTTATCATCAGCATTTGCAAGAACAATTGGACTTAGACCTCTCCCCTCTGGAGTACATGATGAAGTGCTACCCAGAAATCAAAGAGAAGGAAGAAATGAGGAAGATCATTGGGCGATACGGTCTTACTGGAAAACAGCAGGTGAGCCCA